CGAAGCAGGGACAAATTAAGATCGCTTAACCAATCGGTCTGGAGGTTTCGATGTTACAAGAACGCACCTGACACATAGCCTAGCGCCTTGTGGTGACCTGTTTATTTCAAGCTGTTTTTTGCCGTCGCTAGCTTTACAGAAGCAGTGTACAAAAATTTTATGAAAATTTTCAAGGATACGAAAATTTTACAAAAATTATTTAGAAAATCGCAAGCTTCTCCAGTTGCTAAGCTGAAAGTGGGTGACAAATTCCGAACACATACAAAGACACATCTCTCGACAACCTCGCGGCATTATGCGCTTTTACGCATGAAAAGTTGTAATAAAGGTGAAACTGCGCACCAGTTAACCAGAATACCAAAGCTGCTCGGACGATCGGTGAGGACGGGTGAGGTGTTACTGGAATGTCCCCAATAATTACTGAAATAAATTTCCTGCTTTGTAAATATTGCTGCTGTTTTTCTTTTTGGCTTTTAGTGAGCATTAGGCTCAAAGGCGATTGTAGCAATCAGTTTGACTCTGGAAGCCTAAACGGTGAAGGCACGATAGACTACAGCATTAAAGAACAGCATAAGAAGGAAAGAGTGAGATAAGATGTTTATCCGAACTCCGTAACAAACCAAACGGCTTACGGATATTAAACGGAATATGGATAAACGTCTTATCGCATTCTTACCATCATAATCGTACTCCGCCTGGTATGATTATTCAACAATTTCTTCCAGGTTGTGGAGACTAACTGGAGGTATGCAACCTAGGATCGAATTACCAGGGATAGTTGCGCCTGGCGTGTGGATGCACCCCAGTAACATCAGTAGTGTGAGAAACTCACAATGTTTGCCCGGGTGGTCTTAATATCCTTCAATTTTTCCAACAAATATTCCAAATTCAACAAGTAGCTGTTATTTCCCTTAAAAACGAATAAATTTCTATGTGAATCCAATAAATGATACGTATATTGAGAATTAAATTGTACCAAATCTTGCACATCACCAGGATAGGTATCCTTGCGATGCCCGTATGGATGAATCCAAATCTGTGAATAAGTGTGCAACGTTACAAATGCATCGATACGACCGCGATACCGATTTGACATCACTGCATCACGTACAGCCCTGAATACAGAGATTAATTTCCGAAATTGGAAAAATGGACAGAGTAGAACGAACGGACAACTGCCAAACAAGTGGAATATTAGCATAGGCGGATCTGGGGACCCCCTTTCCCTT